TGTGCATTACATAGAACTCAAACTTCCCTTGAAAGAAGATGTTCAAAATCATCTTTACAAAAATGGATCTGCGCCGATGCGTTCTGCAAAAGCTGCTATTTTTCGTGGTGATCTTCATCCTCCAGTAGTCGAAGAATATCACTTGTGGCCCCTGCCAAAGATATCTTCAATCTCTAAGTTTCGTGTGGTGCCATACTACCAGCGTCCCTTATTGCTGATAGAGATTGCTTCGATTTACATGTACATCGTGCCGAAATTTGAAGAAGCGACAAAACCATTTCTTAAAGACGAATACAATATTACGTCACCGAAAGGCATGAAACAGTCCATAGATGTCTCATTTACGCCTATTCCTGGCACAGTTGCGAAGAAAGAAAGGCGCGAAGTGTGGATTTGGTTTAACTATAAAACTCTGTATGAACTACACCCACTGGGTTTTCAGTTCGAGGCTGACATTACAAGCGTGAATCCATCAAATTGGACACTAGGGAGAATTTGGTTTGAAGGCAATTTATATGATAATACAAGTACGTTTAAGGATTACTACTTTCAGAGGGGACGACAAAAAATTCCTTGGTATAAAAGAAAACAGTCCTTTTGGTACAATATTAAAAAATCTGGAGAAAAAAAACCATTTCGAGCGAGAGATTCAGAAAGTAACACCCACAAGCAGCGTTACAAAATATCAGACAATTTTTCAACAGTAACTTATCTAAAGTGGAAATTTCACTTACAAATATCACCGACTGGAGGTCTCCGACTCCTCAACATCAAATATGGCAGAGATATGATAGTGTACGAAATGAATCTCCAAGAAGTGGCAGTTATATACTCAGGTAGCAGTCCTGCAGCTCAAAATCTTAACTTTGTCGATGGGACAGCATTGTTTGGCTCTCGAATTGCTGGTCTTGTACAAGGTATAGACTGTCCATTTGGTGCTACATTCATATCTCCAACCATTTACACCGTGAATGATGGCGGATTGAAAACGCAAAACAATGCCGCGTGCATCTTTGAACATGATCCAGAGGTTCCACTAAGACGTCATAAATCCTCAACGTCGTCCGAAATGTACTATAATGGATTACCAGATAAGGTCCTGGTTGTTCGTGTTATTTTAACCTTTCTCTCCTACGACTACATTTTGGATTATGTATTTCATAACAACGGAGTTGTTGAAGCTCGGGTCTTTTCGACTGGTTCTTTAATAACCACGAGTTTATCACATGAAAGTGATGATTACGGGGTCAAAATTGATCCACTTACTGTGGCTAACATACACAATCACTTATTTAACTACAAAGTCGATTTAGACATAGTGGGTGTTAACAACCGACACTCAATTTGGAAGTTAAATCCGATCAAAAAACCGAATATATGGCGCAATCTAAATGCTACGGAGAATTATTCTCTTGAAAAATTGACTCGAGACTTGATAAATACTGAGAAGGATGCCGCTTACATTTACGATTTTCAAAAACCACTCTACCTGTTATTTCATAATAACTTTACCTTTAACAAAAATAAATACCCACGAAGTTACAGAATCCTTCTTTTTGGTCTCTCTCCTAAAACTGCGGATGATGAAATATTTAATAGTATAGCATGGGCAGAAACTCAGTTGGCAGTGACAAAACGCAAAGAGTCAGAAGAAACGAGTTCTTCTGTTTACGCGCTTTGGGATTCTAGTCATCCAGTTGTCGACTTTAAAAGATATATAAACAATGAAAGCATCGTAGATGAGGTAAGTAAATGTACTTTTTTTATTCTGTATAATATTCAGATTATTTCTTTTGTTTATAAATTCCCGATGTTTTCTTGAGACTTGGTCTTTACTAACCATATTCCTGGTTGTTCGTTACTAGATTCCTCTTCATAATTACGGAAAATACAGAATTCTTTGATGTTTTCTTGACATTTTCTTTCTAAAAATTGGTGGCTAGATCTTTTACTTTTTACTTTTTCTTCTTTTTCTTTCTTTTATATTTATTAATGTCTTTTTCGTCATTGAACAAAATTGTTTTTTTGTTTTTGATAAATGAAATTGAATGACTGTTTGTGATTGAACGAATTGTAAAAATTGTTTATGCTTTAAAAAAATAAATGTTCCATTCAACTTTACATGTCAAAAAACGACATTATTACGTCATTATTTTTGCACCAACCTAATAATTTTTTAAAAAGCTATAACGACATCGAGTTTCTTCTAAAAATGTCTCATAAAGTCTAAATTGTTTTTTCTAACAATCTCGACAAATATTCTCTTTTAAGGCGTTAAAATAGAAATTATTTCAACTTTTATGATCGCAAGTCTGGATTGAATTTTTTTTGGTATAATTTTAATTTGTCATTAATTCTTGATTACTACACCAATGTTTTTATTTTATTAAGTGTGCACAACTAATATTTGTAAACATTAGCACATGATTTGCTATCATCTTAGTAAAACTCGAACAAAATATTATCAAGCAAAAAGAACTATTTCAATGTGCTAAATCAAACAATGTCATTAACTTTTTAAGAAAATCATATTTTATACTAAAATATAAAATTACAAAAACTACATAAAACCTCTAATATATTTAAAACTGAGAAGAGGAAAAAGAATTCTCCCAACTTCATAAAGTTCTCTACTAAAAATAACAATGCAAACTCTAATAATCAACTTGTATCAGAAACTGAATAGAAAATAGCTTGTAAATGTGTTCAAATAACTTGGACCAATTTTAAATGTGAATTAAGTTTAAGCGTTTAATGATTTCTTTTTCTTTCAGATTTAACAACTTAAGTCTTTGACAATTTCCACCATTGAAAGATTAACAATCAAACAACGTGTTAAAATTATCGAAGCCTATTACGAAAATGGACGTTCAAACAGAAATATATTTCACGCACTTCGCGATGTTTTTTTTTTTTTTGGTCAACTTAATCGACCAACCGAGAGTGTAATTGGAAAGGATGTAACGTTGTTGTGGAGAGGTTCAATTCCTGCGCGAAATGACGAATAGAGGGGTCTGAATTTTCAGCCACATTCTCGTGCACTGCACCAATGTTTTCAGATGAACGGCGTAAACGAGCACGCAGTGGCGTTTTCACATTCTGACAGTTTGTTTAAATTTACGAACAATTTTCCAATTGCACTCTTGAAACTTTAACACGTTGTTTGATTGTTAATCTATCCATGGTTGAAATTGCCAAAGACTTAAGTTGTTAAATCTGAAAGAAAAAGATCAAAATCATCAGACACTTAAACTTAATTCACATTTAAAATTGGTTCAAGTTATTGGAGAACCCTTTATTAAAAACCAGTAATATTTATTACTTCAAACGTTATTATAGTCGACACTTCTAATTTGAAATAGACGCCCATTTTTTTAATTCATTATTAAAAGTGTATTACATCTTTGTGCCTACGCATTCAAGAAATCTAAGTAAAGAAATGTGTCCTCTATTAGACGTAATACAACCTGTTAAATAATAAATAAAAATGGGGCGTCTATTTCAAATACGAATATCCAGTATAATAACGTTTGAAGTAATCAAAATGCCGGATTAAAAATAAAGTCATTAATTCTTCAAAAATCAGCATATTTAATAACTGATTAAAAAGGGGAAAAATATTCTTGGACCTAAAATTATCCCGGATCCACATATAAGATCACGCTCTCCCCAAAACAACCACAATTCAAAACCCTTATCTGGCGTTAAATAACCCTTAAAAAATGGTTGAAAGGCCGTTAAACGGAAACAAAACGAAACATAATTTTTGTCAAGTTGAAAAAACTGGACCTTGAATTACTTTCTGCTCTAAACAACAACCATTTAGTTAGACACTTAATGTTCGAATCTGTTACGATTATTGAATGAAGTTTTGATTTATTACTGAATCCTACAAATGACATCACTGATTACGGAAACAAATCAAACACGAACAAATTAGAATCGAAAACTTCGTTGTAATGAGACGGACACTACTGAAACCCTGTGCTTTTTTTCTCCCTTCTTTCCTTTGTCCCAATTTCAAGAAGCAAAATCGAATAAAATTGGTAACGGCTTAAATCTGCAGCATAGTTAAGGACCAATGCCACAAACACGGAGCATCCATAGCTTAGTTTCTATCGATAATAGTGGCACTATTAACCCAATGTTTACGATAAATCGAAAATGCTGATTCTTAAATTTTTGAAGATCAAAGTTGACTGGGAAGCAAGAAGCCGGAAGAGAGTTCCACAATCGAGAAATGCAATAGAAGAAACTGTTAGCATAGAATTTACGGTTGCATCTAACCATTTCAATAGTAAAATGATGAGACCATTCCACCAATCTAGTACTGCACTTAAAATTCGTAAAATCTAGATAGATTAAAGTTCATCAGAACAATTAGCATGGAAGTATTTATAGAAAAGTCACAGGGAAGCTACATTACAATGGTGGGAAAGTGACTGAAGCCGAGATGACAGGTCAGGACCAATAATAGTGTAGATTCTTTTTTAGATTTTATCACGAATCTCTAAATACATAACATATAGCAAAGCACCAAACCAGATGTGGCAGCAATATTCAGAGCAAGGACGAATCTTAGACTTACAATAGATTCTGGCGATAAAAATTGTCTAGTATGACTTTCCAGAACCAACATTTATAGCAACAGAATTAGAAATTGATTCAATAAAATCTTTCCACTTCATGTGAACAGAAAACGTTAGTCAGAGAAGGTTAACATCAACCATGTTGATGGAAGGCAAAAAGAATTCTTTCAGACGATTAAAAAAGAGAAGTTTCGTTTTGGAGGCGTTAAAATTAACAAGCCATTCCTTGCCCCAGTTAACAACAGATAAAAGGTATTTTTTTTAGATCAGCTGCCAATTTAGCTTTATTGAACATATCGGACTATAAAGACAGGAGTAAATAGTTGTCATCAGCATAAAGACCGGATTGAATATATCCACCTAATTTGTACGATAGCTAACAGCCGATTATCATATGTTTTCGGCTTACGGCCATATCACGTAAGATCACCGAAGTTAGGCAACGTCGAGCCCAGTCAGTACCAAGATGGGTGGCCGGTTGGGAATACCAGGTGCTGTAAGCTTGCATGTGCGGGTGGTGACCCGGAATTGTTAATCCGAGTTCCAATTCCCTTTGCGTTTGTTATATTCCCTTTACGCACATATGCCTTTGGGAAAGGTATGGATCCAACTCTTCTTCCCCAAGCTATGGGTTAATTAGTAAGACTTGGATCACTTAACCGTTATAATTCTCAACACCCCACCCCACCCCCAAAATTCTACAATTAAAAAAATATCTGACTCTAAATAAACTGTAATGCCTTGATAAGCCGTAAATAATCGATAAACCATTGCTTTCAGCTAAGCTAACATTTTGGTCAGAGGTCATGTATCGTGTACAAAAGAATTTCCGGATAGTTTTAGTCAAACTAATTTTGTTCAGCACTTAATTTTTTCAGTTACGTTTTCTTAAAAGTCCTGCCGACGTGTGGGTATTGTAACGGTTAGCGAAAAAAATAATCAGCGAAATGAGTTTGACTCCGATCCAAGTTAATTGCGTTTACTTTCACACAAATAACCTTCGGAAAGGTATCACTCTATGTATTCTTTCCCCTCTATTGTGGGTTAAATAGCAGGTCTGACGGACTCGCTCACCTTGAGGCGGCAATCAGTCTGTTAATTCACCTCTTCAAGTTCTCCACTGCCTTAACCGGGTATTGAACTCACACTCTTTGGGTCCTGTCAGTGGATCTAACCAACAAGGGGAATTAACAGGAGATAACTGATAACTGACATCCATTAAACATAGCACGTGGAACTAGAACAGTTTACTCCAGTGAGCGAAATAAAGGGTTCAGCTCGACATTCCAACCACCTGAAGAAGGCCGGAGCGTACAACAGCCGAAACGTTGTAATAAATATGGCGACAAAGGTGAGGACAATAGCCCGAGTAATGTAAATATTTTTCTCTTTATCAATCACCAGAAAAACATCTTCCTGCCTCCCATCAGCATGTTTGACACTAAACCCTATATGAACGACTCGTTGCGCCTTCTCTCGCTTACATTATCGGCTGACATGAAATGGAAAGATTATATTGAATTGATTTGCTAGATCGGCTGCTAAGAAAGTTGGTTTACTGTGTCCTGCAAGACAATTTTTCTCTCCTGAATCTATCTTACATATTTATAAATCGACCATTCGTCAATGCTTTGAATATTACTGCTACACATGCTATCCATTTACAGATTCTTGATAAAATCCAAAGAAGAATCAGCAATATTATTGGTCTTCATCTGGCGACTCGGCTTCAGTCACTTTCCCACCACCATAGTGTAACTTCCCTGTGCCTTTTCTATAAATACTTTCATGCTAATTGTTCGGATATAAATCTTCCCTATGAATTTAAGCACAGTACTAGATTAGCTGTAAGGTCTCATCAATTCACAGTTGAATTGGCTAGATGTAACTTTAAGTTATGTTAACAGTTTCTTTTCTCGCACGTCTAGTATGTGGAACTCCTTTGCGGCTTGGTGCTTTCGAACTGACTTTGATCTTTAAAAATTTAAATGCAATGTCAATCATTATCTTTTTGATTGTTCTTCTATTGTTCTCGTAACTTAATAATATTTTTTCTTTTTTTTTTCTTTATTCTTTCCCACTCAATAACACCTTGTGTCTTAGTGACTTTATTGCCTTGCATGGGGTAATATGATTAAAAATAACACCAAAAATGCCACAATTCACATCTTCATAGATCATGTGACGGAAACTTAAGATATTCTTCTTTATCCGAGTCTCTTCTCTAGAGTTATAATTGAAATAAATGTCTAATTCCTAGACACTCCATAGAGGTATTCCAAGGGTTAAAAAAAGGCTGTTTGTCATTTAACCAAAATACACGCACTAGAATCCTAGGATCTTTATAAATGAAATTTACACAATAAGATAAAAATTTGTCTATTCACGTTATCATTGCAATGACTAAAACTACAATTGTAAATGAGAATTTTGGAATTGAAATAGTCTCACTAAAATAATGAACCTTGCTCATATCCGTACAATTTTTGCATTAAAATAAATGTCTTTAAAATTTTGTTGATTCTTGCCATAGTTTTGCCAGGAAAGTAGACATAGGAAATATCAAGTTCATTTTTTTAATTTGAAATCTTTGTTTCCACATGATAAATAACCACGAATAATGTTCTTAAATAACCACATCAAATCTCCATTCTCATATGGATGTCATGCATGACACCGAAAGCCGTTCAGAAATGTCTGAATTATTAGGGATGTACAACCGTTTTCTCAGATCAAGGATTAAATTGAATTTTTTAAAATGATTTCACCCTAAGCAAAGCGATAAGGTCACTAAGACGTAAGGGGGTCTATTGGGAGTGAAATAGAATGAGAAGACATTAGTCAGGAGAGACAATAAAAGAGCATGGTTTAGGAAGACAGAAGATAGCGATTGACGTTGCATTAAAATTTTACGGATTATCAACCCTTTTTGGGTTATTTAAAGCCAGAAAATATTTTTATATTATATTTTTTTTTTAGATAATAATGGTTTTAGTGATACAAGTCTTACTAATTAACCCATAGCTGGGGAGAAGAAATAGATTCGTACCTAATCAGAATTTGATTTGGTTTGGTTTATTTTTTTTTTTTACGGCAATGGATTATTTAATGCCGACAAAATTTTAATTGCCGGTAATATTTTATTTTTCAAAAATGTATTGCTGGTAATAATTTTTTACAAAGTATTTCTGGTATTAAAATTTATTTTACATTTTCATAGTGTTTTGACCCCAGTTTGGATGTTTATTTACCCATAGCTGGGACCCTAACAGGTGCTACTACCCCGGGTCAGGGTGAACCCGGGAACATCAGCAATTAAGAAGTGATTCCACGCTCCTTAAAACCTCCTGATCAGAGGCTTTGATGTTCGACGTAGTTTATCGTCATACCCAGGACGGCAGAATTTGATAAACAAATAAGAAATTATAATTTGGATATAAATTGGGTGATCAATTCAACATTACAATCAAAAATATAAACGGATCCCTCACTTTGTGACCACGGTAGCGTAAATACATTTATATTTATGAGAATGTAAATAAATCTAAGAGTCATGCCTGTGTAGCTAATCAGTGTTTGATTGATTCGTTTTTTATGGCTTATCGACCCTTTGCAGGTTATTTAAAGCCACAAAAATATTCAGATTGTAAGAATGTCTTTTGAGATAATAATAGTTTAGTGATACAAATCTTACTCATTAACCCATAGCGGGGAGGAGAAGAGGTGGATTCATACCTTTCCCAAGGGTATTTGCGTATAAGTCAATATAACGAACCCAAACGGAAATAAAAAAAAAAATCTGATACATTATTTATTCCACTACCGGCATATCCAATCTTACAGCACCTGGTATTCCAAAGCGGTCACCGATCTAAGTATTGACCAGGCTCGACGTTGCTTAACTTCGGGAAAGTTTTAAGAAAAGGCTTTATCAATTTCAACCGAAAGTAACGCTGTTTGGTCGATGAACGCTAAAAGTTAATTGTATGAAAAAGAGTTAATTTCAGAATTACTCTCAACCTTAGTAAAAGTGAATTAAATATTTTAATTTCAAAACAACTGTTGCGTTGCGTGTCGTCTGTGGATTTTCGTTTTCTACCAACAATTCCTTAGAAGGAATCCCAACGCTACATCAATAGACTGAATCAATGGCAAACAATTTCATTCAGTATTTAAAAAAAATTATTTTGGTCTCGGTTTATTTTGGTAAGGAAGAAGCAGTCGTTGTTTCTTGTAGGAAGCGAGGAAGTTCGGATGCCAGCAGCTCGGCCTGCTACTATCCTCTTTCCGTAACGATACCTTCATTGAGACGTGATATTCATTGAAGTAATCGCTGTTAAAGCCATAGGCAGGCAAAGCAATGAATTCCCTGATGAGCATCAAAAGCTCTCGACCGCTTCCCTACCACAACTCCACTTCTCGTTTTCGCACGTTTTTCAATCTTATATCATATATTTTTTTAAAAAAGAAAATCCATCGCTGTCACTATTCCATATTAGGGCAGGTTTATTTTTTACTTCTTGAGAAAATCCGCATTGCACTCGATGTGAAAACTAGGGTTTCATGTAATAAGAACTGGCAAAGATTCATAGACTTTACCGATTTTGAGCATTTCGTTTTAAAAACCGCTGAAAAATGTACAGAAATACCTAATTTCTGCAGATTTTTGCTTACAAACTAACTTCAAAATATTACTATTTCAAGAACAAATCCAAATAAGGTTGATATCTTTTGTATTAAATAAATTGAATGGAAAATATATTCAAACCAGAATTCTAATTATGAATCCCTACAAGCAAAATATGCCATTTTTTTACAGAGAAGTGTTTCGGTTAGCAAGGTCGATTTTATTGTTTTTAAACTACAATTCTCCATGAAACTACAATTCTCTATTTCATTTGCGCATCCTAATGTAAACAAACGAAATGCTCCTCTGTGGCTAAATCGGTAAAAGCACGTCAGGCTATATGACGGTTCCGTGTAGGATCCATGTTCGATTCCTGTCGGAGGACGCATATTTTCTATGAAAATTTCTCGGACATTCAGGAAGGTAAATGTCGGTAATACTGTTTATTATATATAGAGCATTTACATAAATATTTATATCTATAAAAAAAAAAACGTATAAAAAAAAATGTCCTAAAATAGTTCATAATAAGATTTATTAGATCATTTGTTAGATCCCAATTAATAAAACTAAAAAAAATAGTAAAAGTTTATATAACACCATAATACTGCTGGGCACAAATTATAAGACAAAATGTTTTAAATTTGCATTGTTTATTGAAAATCACTAAAACTCTGCACTGTATAACATATTGCAAGTCCCTCATGATATAACTAAATTGTCCAGTATAATTTCCCATTGAAGTAAATGAAGGTCTTATCTGATGATACAATGATTTATTAATAATGTGTTTGTGCCATGCATGTTGTTCATATACTATTTATAAAGCTTCAGTAAATTATAAATTTTATAAGGCTTTCACTGATCACCGGAA